GGGACAATACGTTTACATCCGATCTTCTAGGGACTTTCAAACTCTCATCTCTCAATAAAACTTGAAGCCGCATTTGTGGGGACAATACGTTTACATCCGATCTTCTAGGGACTTTCAAACTCTCATCTCTCAATCAAACCTGAAGCCGCATTTGTGGGGACAATACGTTTACATTCGATCTTCTAGGGACTATCAAACTCTCATCTCTCAATCAAACCCGAAGCCGCATTTGTGGGGAAAATACGTTTACATTCGATCTTCTAGGGACTATGTGTATCGTTTGACTATGTGTATGAAAGCAATGATCATATTGGTTCTTCAGGTATTTGATTTACCAATGAACGCCTTCGTAATAGAATGAAGACGGCTTGTATGGATTTCATGCAATTCATGGACTTGAGAGTCAACTCTCAAATCGTTGTGGGGACATCGAGTTAAATGGTTGAGAGTGGATACTGTACTTCAGGGGACATTTTAAGCATACCGTAAGTATGGGGACATGAAAATGTCCCCATAGCCAGACCATGTCCCCACAACACGTTTTTTTGTTGGACAAATGTCCCCACAATTAAGGTGTTACCAACCCTCCCATTCACTCTCTCTCTCCCATTTACTCTCTCTCTCTCCCACTCTCTCCCATTCACTCTCTCTCCCATTCACTCTCTCTCTCTCCCACTCTCCCATTCACTCTCTCTCTCCCATTCACTCTCTCTCTCCCATTCACTCTCTCTCTCTCTCCCACTCTCTCTCATTCACTCTCTCTCTCACACTCTCTCCCATTCACTCTCTCTCTCACACTCTCTCCCATTCACTCTCTCTCTCCCATTCACTCTCCCACTCTCTCCCATTCACTCTCTCTCTCCCACTCTCTCCCACTCTCTCCCATTCACTCACTCTCTCCCATTCACTCTCTCTTTCCCATTCACTCTCTCTCTCCCACTCTCTCCCATTCACTCTCTCTCTCTCTCCCATTCACTCCCACCCTCCCTCCCTCACTCACTCACTCACTCACTCACTCTCCCACACTCACTCAATCTCTCCCACTATCTCTATCACTCTCTATGTCCCACTCCCATACACACTTTCGATCAGAAAACGACCACCTTTAACATGGAGTATCCAATCAGAGGTGACCTATCACAGTAGATACCTCCGATATCAGAATACAACTGCCAAAGTAGCACTCTCCGATCAGAGCTGTAGAACATGTAGATAAAGTGTAGTGTTGGTACACGTAACAATCTACAGACCACTCACGACAAAAACTAAACTATAAGGCCAATCAGGGGTTAGGGGAGCTTTGATTACACATCAGCGCACAGTTGGCCACTTCCGTGTTTGAAACAACAACAGCACTTTTAGAAAAATCGTACAGTTTTTATAGAAAATAAAATCTTCCTATACAGGTGTGCAGAATTTATAACATTAAATGTCATACTACAACAGTATTGTAACTCTCAGTCATTTTAAAGGGAATTATTTGAGCGCGTTCTGAACAATTGCATATAAATCCTGTTTTAAATGGTATAGAAATACATTAAGATATGATATATTTTTATTTATTCCAATGTGAGAAGGATGGTAAGTAACTCTTTATGTGTTTAATTCTATATCAGGTGGACCAATTACAGCAGTTAATCCCTCCCGACTACCGCTACTAATCCCTGTAATTATCGCTACCAGTACTGATTACTGCTCAGATCAACGGTCTACCGACTATCTCCTAAAATGCATTATTTTACTGATGAAGAAAGGTTAATAGACTGCATAGTCTATGTGTAAATGGTATTTGTGCCCCCACCCCACACCTTTTTCACTTCAACACCACGAAGATTTGCGTTTGGGATTCAATCTATCCATGGTGTCTCAGTTGAGATCTCAACAGTTTAACCCTACAATGCTGAATAATGAAAAGAGATCATAAAGACATTTTGGGACCTTGGAATCATTTGGTTAAAAAGTGTAGATCTAGCTCCCCTGGGGCCGAGGTGATATGTCCAAAAAGGTGAAGCTGAGTGTTAAATATTTGAAAGCGTATGCCTCTAGACCGCTCTGAGGCATTGGGATGAACTGTCGTAATTGTACGGTAATATGTTATGATATTTGTACAGTTTGCACATGGAACTGTAGCACGATCTTTCCCTTCCCAATTGTAAATAGCTACCACAGGGACTGTAGTATGATATTTGCCTCCCCTATGCTATATAGCTAACACAGGGAACTATAGCACGACCCTTGTCTCTCCTACAATATATAGCTATCGCAGGAGAATGTAGCAAACTCCTTGTCTCCTCCATAATGCACAGCTACCACAGGAGACTGTAGCAAGATACTTGCTTCCTCTATAAGTGTATAGCTACCACAGGGGACTGTTGCATGAACTTTGCCTCCTCTAAAGTACGCAGCTACCACAGGGGACTGTAGCATGATCTTTGCCTCCTCTATAGAACGCATCTTCCACAGGAGACTGTAGCACGATACTTGCATTCCCTATACGTGTATAGCTACCACATCGGACTGTAGCAATATCATTGTCTCCTCTATAATGCATAGCTACCAAAGGGGACTGTATTACGATACTTGCCTCATCTATTGTAAATAGCTACCAAAGGGGAATGTAGTAAAATCCTTGTCTCTCTATAAGTGTATAACTACCACAGGGAACTATAACACCACCCTTGTCTCTCTATAAGTGTATAACTACCACAGGGAACTATAACGCGACCCTTGCCTCTCTATAAGTGTATAACTACCACAGGGAACTATAACACGACCCTTGTAATAATTATCATTTTGTTAGGATCGTACCTACCTTCCAAATGTCAAAAAGGTTTAGATGCTCCGATGTTTTTTATAAACAGTTCGGAGTTGGGATGACAAATGACTAATAGATGATCGGGAGCTGTGTTTATGAGTCATTTGACATAACTTCCTCGGAGAAATTTCGGAGTAAGGTTATTTTATGCTCTATTCATTAATACACCTATTTGAAATCCTATTGAATTACTATTTCGATAATTCAATGAGGTATTTTTTTTTACTCTCCATATTTTACCATACTGTGGACCATATTTTCCCGGTTTGGTAAGGTACCCGACTGTGGTAATTAAAAAAACCCATAATGGATAGTCTGTTGCGTCTTGCTATTTTCTTGTATCGGTGCATGTATATTTGGCTGAATATTTTACACAGAGAATTTCGCGAAACCGATTACAAATAACAATATCAACATAAAATGTGTTACAAGTCTCAATTAACAGAAGATAAATATGTTGATAGAGGTCAACTTTGACTTATTTTGAACAAATAAAAGATTAACACGGAGACCCTTAAAATAGAACACGACGAAGACCAGGTATTCCGCAAGAGAAAGCGTCCCGTGATTCCATCGATGACACCTGCCATGACAAATCACGGGTATCTGCTTCTAAAATGTATACATGTAAATGTGTTTACTATATCTTCCCCGTTTTCGGGGCAGATACTTTGGTCAAATCAAAATAATGTCATGTGAGATAAGGCAGAGTAATGAGAATTTAAAAAAAACGTTGATATCCCTATTGCACAAAAAATATTATAAGTTCCGATAGCCTTAATCTTGGAAATTGCTAAAACCTAAATTATAGATAAATTATCTTTGTTGTGGGGTAAATAGGATTCTTTGTTTCTATTCGATTGATCGTGTTTCAAGAGGAATTTCAGAATCTAAGTGCGCCATCATCGACGACCATTTCCGTCGGAGCAAATGCTAAACTAAAAGAAAAATATTTTGGTTGACATGTAGACACCAAAATATCATTATGCGGGAAATAGAATTTCTAAAACATTGTATCACCATGCCCATCGACGAAGTACAGCCTTTTAAACAACCCAACCAAACCCCCTCCCATAAGGACGTAAAGTGAAAGTAAAAACCGGAAGTGATTTTGGACATCCGTGTCTGTCTTAGCAATATGCTCTTACTGACACCCAATTCGGCCAAACTGGTGTTATCCAAACTAGTTTGGTTTGGTTCAATTTTGTTTAACGTCCTATTAACAGCTAATGTCATTTAAGGACGTGCCTCCATGTGTGTATGTAGAAGACAGGGTATGTTGGCGTGCTTGCCCCTCTATGATAGCGCGGATCTGATGCCGATTTTATAGTGCTATCTCACTGAAATGCCATGCCGAAGTCACACAGGACCAAATTCCGCCCGGTCACATTATACTGACAACGTGTGAACCAGTTGTTGCCAATTCCCTAAATGCTGAACGTTAAGCATGCAGGAAATAACAACTACCATTTTTAAGGACTTTGGTATGTCCCGGCCTAGGGACAGAATCCATTGCCTTCCTCACCTGGGCGAACGCTCAATATTAAGGCCAAAAGTGAGGTGTTGCCAAGCAAGGCGCTAGGAAATAAAAGGTAGTTAGAAGTATAAATAAAGATAAAGATCCCAAATATTGCAATGAGTGCAGCAGATTTATTTTGGTCGCTTTTGTGTCCACAAATAGAGGACACCAATGCAAATCCCCAATTCAGTAGGTGGGTCCCCACATTGGTCGCCTC